TGGACAATCGTGACCAATTATGGTATTTGCTTCCAATGACTGAACAAATTGTGATTAGATATAAGAAGATGCGGTATGAGTGCCAATGAGACAACTCTCCATCAAAGTCACAATTTGTAAAAGTAAACCATTATAGGTCAAAGTACGGCCTTCAACACGTAGCCTTGGCTCACACCGAACAGCAAGAAAAAATGACCATTCAAACAGGAAATTTGCCTATTTGGTGTACATTGTCTTTGTTATATTCATGAATATGAAAAAATAGATTTTGTACTTTTTCACAGTTTGGATCAATAATGAATAATGTGTTGAGAGTTTTTGGTTTCATGTGTCTTGTATTAATCAATAGGTAAATGAATGTGTCTTATACAGTTTGGATAATACAATCGTACAGATATTGTGAGGCCATACTGTTTTTTTTTACCTTAGGAAATAGTTGAAATGTTACGTTCAAACAAGCATATGATCATGAGTTAAGCGTATTGTTTTTTTTTCAATCCGTGGTCAGCAAGATGGGGAAAAACCAACCCCGACATGCATATTATATTTGACGAATTTTGTACTTTATTTACCGAAAATTATCTCATTTAAATTTTTCCTCTCTCTCTCTTATTGTTTATTACTTATCTTTACTTTTGTGTTGATTGATTGATTGTTGCTTGTTTAACGAACATGTGGCAATTATTTCATGCATATTCAGAACTAGAAATTTTAAACAATTTATACAACAGTCAGGTTTTTCCGTGATATGACGAAGGGATGAATGGCGGGGACCTTGAACGGCCAATGGAAAACAGATAGTATATTGGAAAGGAGCAGAAATTTTGCCGTGCAACAGGCCATTTAGGCTTCTTATATAAACCTCACAGAGTTGGTGAAAAGGTTCGTTAACGTGTTAAGAGCGAAGCACTGTCTCTACACGAAGAATCGAATGCAACGTTCCCATTCTGATCGGACATGAGGGTCTGGATGGGGTTTACAGAATAGAGAATATTGGGCAAAACGTGCAGAATAAAGGGCTAAAAAATAAAGAATAGAGAAAAAAGGCTAAAAAAATAAGGAATATAGAATAATGGGGTACTTAGATATAAAGAATAGGGAAAAACTGGTAAAATTTATTAAGAATAGAGAAAAATGGCATTAAAAAGTAAAGAATACAGAAATGAAGGACCCCCCGTCCACACCCTCGGACATGGCATCGTATACAACTCGCACAGCCAAACGGACATCCCACTTCGGCCAGGGTCTTACTGCCAATCTGAAAAAGAACAAGATGACCATATTTCTAAATCGAAGGCTCCCTTTGGGTACTTTTTGTTTTGAAGCAATGACATAAAGAAAGTATTTTTCTCCAGGCAAAAGATATCCATGACAAAATCACGATTTAATTCGCATGTTTAAACTGTGTAAGCATAAAAATATCTAACGTTATAAGAAGGGTAATATTTAGAACAATATCTAGTAATTATAAACACTTTAATGCAATTACAAAAATGTATATAGAGAATATCATATGGCTTTTTCAATATCACACCTGTATCAACCCGAGACACCAATGTAATCCCAAGAGCTCTGCTCGAGGGATTATATTGGTTGATGGTTGATACGGTGTGTGATATTGAAAAAGCCATATCATATACACTTTATTATATACATGTACCTCAAGTACAACTAATCTCTTATGTATTTTTCACGAGACATGACGTAATACATATTAGGGGTTTAATAAAGCTTTTGTAACCGTGACTGATATCAATTACGTGACGTCATACATATTAGGGGTTTGATAAAGCTTGATCACTATCGATATCATCACGGATGGCTGATACAGCACGATTGTCATCAATTGTTTTACACATACAATTTACCTGTATTTATTACTAAGTATATAATAAATATATTTATAAATATACATGTATAAATATAAATAAGGAGATTTTGTATGATGTCTAACCATCCACCAGAGACCAAATGACTGGGGTGTAGACCATTGTAGTTCACTGTACGGCTACAAGAAGGACAAAGTCCATAACATGTATACGTTTGAATTAAGGGAGCTACCATTTGATTTTTATGGGGGAGGCTAGGATGAAATTCGAAAAAATAGGCATGACAGGAGTTTTTAGTAAAAAGATCAGGATGACAATTTAGGTAAAAAAAAGTCAGGATAAACTTTAAAAAAAAAAAGGCAGGACCGAATAGAGTGAATAATAAAAAGGCAGGACAGAGATTACAACTAAAAAAATGAAGGACAAAATTTTTCATCCTAGCCCCTCCCCCCTCTCCCCCCCATAAAAATCAAATGGTAGCTCCCTAAAGTAAGTTGTTTTCAAAGACCTCAAAAGTAGTTAGTTGTGTACTCTTAGAAAATTGTGTCGGTAAATATGTCAGAAAGGTTATAAATTTCAGAAAGGTCATAAATGTTAAAAAGGTTATACATATCGGAAATGATATACATTTCAGGAAGGTTGTATATTTCATTAACATATACGTTTTTTTTTTAAAACTACTTTCTATACATGCGATTGCCTTTAATTTGGTATTCTATTTTGGAATTTGGGAAGTTTTTAGGACATATAGTATGATTTTTATGCCAATACCACAAAATCCAGTGAACTTTCCTGGCCTATTTTTAGATATAATCTATGGAGAATTAAACCTTATACACATCTTTAAGAAAAGTATATTAAAAAAATAAAATATATGCATACTTGGGTTACGTTTTATTTATCTTACGTAACTCCTTTAAGTTAAGTTATTCAAGAAAATACTTATATATAAAATTGAGAATGGAAATGGGGAATGTGTCAAAGAGACAACAACCCGACCATAGAACAGACAACAGCAGAAGGTCACCAACAGGTCTTCAATGCAGCGAGAAATTCCCGCACCCGGAGGCGTCCTTCAGCTGGCCCCTAAACAAATATATATACTAGTTCAGTGATAATGAACGCTATACTAAACTCCAAATTGTACACAAGAAACTAAAATTAAAAATAATACAAGACTAACAAAGGCTAGAGGCTCCTGACTTGGGACAGGCGCAAAAATGCGGCGGGGTTAAACATGTTTATGAGATCTCAACCCCCCCCCCCCCCCCCCCCCCCAATACCTCTAGCCAATGTAGAAAAGTAAACGCATAACAATACGCACATTAAAATTCAGTTCAAGAGAAGTCCGAGTCTGATGTCAGAAGATGTAACCAAAGAAAATAAACAAAATGACAATAATACATAAATAACAACAGACTACTAGCAGTTAACTGACATGCCAGCTCCAGACTTCAATTAAACTGATTGAAAGATTATGTCTTTATCATATGAATATCAGGCACAATCCTTTCCGTTAGGGGTTTAGTATCATACCATCATAACATATATGAGAAGAACATAACCCGTGTGATGCCAACAACTGGTTTTTAAATAAATGTGTTTAGTGCCGATGCAAAGACCCTATAAGTGAATCAATATTAACGCCAAAATATGCAATCTTTAATGACCTGACAACAGTATCGTAACTATATCCCTTCTTAATAAGTCTATTTAAAGGTTTTGTTAGTTTCAGAGGTGAATACTGACATTTTTGTGCTTTATAAAGAATATTTCCATAAAAAATTGGATGTGAAATACCTGAACGTATAAGAAGTCTGCATGTTGAGCTATATTTACGAATGATGTCCTTATACCGATGATAAAATTTAGTAAATGTTTTGACTAGTTTGTGATATCGAAAACCCTGGTGTAATAATTTTTCAGTAATACATAAATTTCTCTCGTTAAAATCTAAAACATTATATATGTATATATATATATGTAATGTATAATTGCAAATACACTACGAAAAGTTACATTAAATACAACTGCATGTTCGTTCCCGTACCCACTCAATAGATGTTGCATTTTCAAATCTCTGGAATCCTTGGTCTACCAGGAGTTTTTGTTTTAATATCTACAATATATTGACAGATAGTTCATTGCAATGACTGCCATATGATCGCATTTCTCCCCAAATATATAGTTTCGTGGAGATGAATTTCATTTTCTGCTTAGGTTTTTTTTTCAGTGTTCAAACGAAACAAAACCACTTTAAAACTTATATACAAAATTTCCCAGACAAAATTTCCTAGAAAATTTTCTATACAAAATGCGAAGAAGAATTATTGGTTTAATATCGGGAATATTTTATAGGTTTACAAAAAAATCAAAGCAAACAATTGGTAACTATAACGCAACGAGAGATCCATCATTGCACAACCACACTTCTAATATATATGAAAGAAATCACCGATAACCAAAACGAAAAATCCAAACAAACAATAAACACATATTTAATAATTATCCTCACACCATGACCAGAATGATGATACATTACTGTTAATGTGTATGACAATGAGAAAATATGCAGGGATCACTCAAACATCTCCAATCTGAGTTCAATATTCAATAAAGAAATAAGATACAAGTATGTCATCGAAACCTCTAAAACTTCCTGCGGACACTTATATGCATACTTGGCAATACAAGTGATATTTTCAGGTTTTGTCATCGATAGGAATTTTCTCTATGAGACAGAAGCTGTATGTGTATTTTACCAAATAAAATGAATAAATAGTTGCAAAATAGGTCACCGTGTCGGTCAAATGTAAATTGAATGTTAGTTCATGAAAGGAATTTTTTTGAAATACATCTTTCCCATTTAACCGTTCTTGTATTAATTCAGATGTAAAATGTATAACTTCTCTTCCTATATTAGACAACATGGTGATGTCTCAATTAATTTAAAAAAGATATGTCAGTTATCGGATATTAATCGTTAATATGAAAGACAAGTGCAACTCTCTAGCGGCAAAGGAAATACTAAAAATGGTTCCTTTCCATGTTCACGTATTTTAAGCCATTTGATTGGTTGTTGAGATAGATATCTGCATATATATAAGTGATGATAGTTATCTGGACTACTGTGTGCAAACTACCACTTACCGCAGCTCCATCTCTGTAAGTTAATAACTATTACTTTTACATTTTGAGCTCGGAAAACAGATAGCTACTTTTTAGGTAATTTAAAATTCTACCACGGTGACATAAAGCCAATTTTATTTGGTAACTTTATTTAAGAATGTGTATATTTTCTCAGTGAATATTATTCAAATCTAAACTTCTACCACACCGAAATAAAACCGATTTTGGTGTGTAACTTAAAGTCAGAATGTTTTAATTTTTAACATTATTCATATGAGAATACTTGATTGTTATTCAGTTTCAAAATTTATTTGATATACTATGACAGTTGCCGGGGTTATTTTAAAACAAAATAAAAAGATAACGCATTTACTTTGATAAAGCATTAACTTATTTCTCATCAGCAGTGCTCGAAACTCAAACAAAACAGAATTTCAAAATATCATTTTCTATTTTGGTAACAAAAAAAGTTCCTGTAGTCAAAAATTCAAATTTCGAGTTTGACCTTTTTTGGTCGATTTATTTCTGCTTAAAGATCATTACAAGATTTGATAAATTTGAAAAATATCCATCGAATTAAAAAAAATGGTTATATCGGCAGTCAAAACCGCTCTACAGATTTATTACTCGAAGGAAATACATAAAAAAGGAAAAACTTTCGTTGTTGTAGTTTAAACTCTACACGTACATAAGTATCATAGTTTAACTCCTAACTTATAACTAGTTCAGTGTAGTAAGGACATGGTAATGACAAATCGTCACTTTTAGTTTTGAAATATCTTGAAAAGTTTAAAAGTTTTTTTTATAGGAAACAATTAAATCTCTTATTTTGGAAATATAATTTGACCGTTCAAGATTGATACGCTCAAATTGAAATTGAAAATGAAAATACGACATTTCTCTCACACTTTCTCTTTTAAAACTTTTTTCATAATTCTTATGAATTTTAATCTACTTCGTTTCGTAGGTACAAACGACAATGAAAACGGAGATAAAATTATGTGTATGCGTTGTCCTCGCGGCAGTATGCATTGCCGGCGTAAGATCAGCTGGTAATTATGGCAGAGGAAGTTATGGAAGAGGTGTTTATGGACGAACTGCATCATACGGCGGCGGTGGATCCAGCAGAGGATACGGCGGCGGCAGTGGATACGGCAGAAGTGGATACGGCGGAACTGGATACAGCAGTTACGGAAAAGGTACTGCTGGACGTGGGAGTGGTACATTGTATTACCCTTATTACTACCCTGTTCCCTACTATGTACGTGGTGGCAGAAGACGAGGAGGAAATGTAAGAGTTACTCCAGCCATAATTGCAAGAACAGGAGGACGACGTAGAGGAGGAGCCGGAAGAGGTTTTCTTGGAGGAAGTGGATTCGGAGGCATTTTTAGTTTGATCAGTAAGTTTCATTATAAGTATATTACATATTTATCTTATCAGAGGGTCTAGATAAGGTTTACAGAATAGAGAACAATAGCCAAAAAGTGCAGAATAAAAGGTGAAAAAATAGACAAAAATAGACCCAAAAAAAATGAAGCATATAGAATAATGGGATGCTAAATTATAAAGAAAAGAGAATAATGGACAAAACAATAAAGAAAAGAGAATAATGGACAAAACAATAAAAAATAGAGAAAAATGGTATAAAAAGTTTTAGAAAAAATAAAGAAACGAAGGAACGCAGGCCCATCCAGACCCTCATATCATGTAGTAACGAAAAAACTTAACATTTTTTTTATAAAAACTGCTGCAGAGTAATACTACATATAACACGACAGGTGCCACATGTGGAGTAAGCTTATCCCAACACTTCCCGGGAGCAACTGATATCACACCCGGTTTTTTGTTGGGTTCGTGTTACCATGGCATTGTCAGTTTGTTTTCGACTTATGCGTTTAAATATCCATTTGGTATCTTTCGCCTCTCTTTTATAAAAGAGATATTATTCTAATTATTATTATTATTATTATTATCATAATTATTATTATTTATTATTATTATTATTATTATTATTATTATTATTATTATTATTCTAACGGAATTGTTGTAAGATTCCTATTTTCAGAAATAAATGTTTCAAAATATTTACTTTAAAAAAAATATTTAGAAATAGGGGCGGGGGTCCATTCCATGAGCGCCTGTGATTCATACGTGGTGATTTATATTCACTGTTATGTATTTAACCAAAAAATTCTGTAGTATAGACAAGAAGTACAATCATCCAAGGAAAATCATAACTATAAATTATTTTCTTTTCTTTTCAGTCACGCTTTTCTTTCTTCAGTTTATTCTAGGACTCATAGGATAGACAGCATAATCCAGGTAATTGTTAACTATCATATCCTTACATGTATATATATCCCGAAATATATTGAAGCTAGTAGACCGGAGTTACTTATTCATAGAAAATAATATTTGGGATAATATAGATGACTTTCACATTCGTTCATTTTCCCTTTCATATCCAGTGTCACCGGCAATGCTTATGTCATATAAACTTCAATGTGATAATCGATTGTTCAATGACGTCATTTAATTATAGACCAATTTCTATATTTCTTTGTATGAATGAATACGACGGTTGATCCTGTGGCCAATCGGCGTTTTAATTAGTAAGGCGATGCAACCTTTCTTTTCAAATCTGACACACACTTGACGAAATTCAAATTTCTATTCATATTTATATATAAACGTTAATAGTATCCAAAATTGAATCACACACTGAAGTGTATACAAAATACGAAATTCACATATTTCAACTATCTCAGAAAATATCAGACATATAATACAAGACCTTAACAATTGAAAACAAATCATGACCTTGAAACGCAAGAATAAAAAAACGCAGCAATTAGTAAGAGTTGTGTGTATTTAGTATTGCATCATTTTTACATTGTATTCATGATTATGAGATGTTACAATCTAAGTTGAATATATGTGGTTATAAATTTATAAGATATTGACATTTCTCAGCTTTTCACATTTGACAATGTACCAATATTATGCAATTGTATATGTATATATATAAATTTGTTTTGTTTCTATTTACAGCCGGAAATAAATCTAAGGGAAGTAATCATGGTAATGATATATCAGCACACAAAGCAGTCGTTGGGTACACACCATATAATACTGATACAATTTTGTAAATAAAAAAGCAGACCAGAATTTTGTTTACATTTTTTTAACGAATAAAAAAGGTGTTTGATGTTTACGTCAATGATACAGCAACCCGACGACACAAATGACCTAATGACATATAATTATAAATACGCCCCAAAAAAGTTATCGTTTTTCAATGGACAAGTATGTGGGTAAAATCCGAAATATCTCTGACGTCTGATTGCCTGCCTTTCTGCTACGTGATTTTACTTTGAACAAGTTATCTAGTTGTTTTTTTAGTTCCATGCATTTACATATGTAGATATAAAATTAACGCACATGATTCCATGTACATATAAATATAAAATTAACGCACATGACCCCGGTGGTGACCTACATATACATGCATTTACAAGTTTCGCTTTATAATCCTGTTTTCTATGTCATGCAAATAAGATTGTGCCTATTTACATAAGTAAGGTTCAAGTTCATTGAGAAAATCAGACACAAAAGTAAAATCTAGACGAAAGGAAAAAACGTCACTGAAGGGGTTGAGGGTTTCATGTTTTTGTTTGTGCTACAGGTTTGGAGAGGAGGGAGCAGTTCGTTAATATAAGGTAAATACACGTATAACTAAATTTTAAAAAAAATAGGGACACGAACGGTATATGATTATTTGTTAAACAAAAGATTTAAGCAAAACCTTGTCTGTCCGAGGCTAGGCAGGTAATTTCCATGTTTTTAACAAGGACTGAGATGTTGCATTTCACGCCCCTCCCTACCTATAAAATATCGGACTAATGCATCTCATGCCCCTCCTTACAGATCAATTTCAAACTAATGCATCTCATGCCCCTCCTTACAGATCAATTTCGAACTAATGCATCTCATGTCCCTCCATACAGATCTTGGCATTCCACGCCCCTCCTTACAGATCAATCTCGAACTAATGCATCCCACGCCACTCCTTACAGATCAATCTCGGAATGATGCATCTCACTCCTCTACTTACAGAGCGATCACGAACTAATGCATCCCACGTTCCTCCTTACAAATCAATCTTGGACTAATGCACCCACGTCCCTCAGTCCAGATCAATCTTGAACTAATGCATCCTACGACCCTCTTTACAGATCAATCTGGGATTAATGCACCCCCACGCCCCTCTTTACATATCAATCTAGAACTAATGCATCCCAAGCTCCCCCTTACAGATCAATCTAGGACTAATGGTTCCCCTTTACCCTCCATACAGATCAATTGCGGTCTAATGCACCAAGCCCCTCTTTACAAATCAATCTAGAACTAATGCATCCCATGCTCCCCCTTACAGATCAATCAAGGACTTATGCATCCCACGCTTCCCCTAACAGATTAATCTAGGACTAATGCATCCCACGCTTCCCCTTACAGATTAATCTAGGTCTTATGGTTTCCTTATCCCTCTTATACAGATCGATCGCGGATTAATGCAGCCCATGCCCCTCTTTACAAATCAATCTCGAACTATTGCATTCCACACCCTCCTTACAGATCTATCTAGGACTAATACATCCCATGCTCCCCCTTACAGATCAATCTAGGACTAATGGTTCCCTTGCCCCTCCATACAGATCGGTCGCGGATTAATGCACTCCACGCCCCTCTTTACAAATCAATCTAGAACTAATTTGCATTCCATACCCTCCTTACAGATCTATCTAGGACTAATACATCCCTCGCTCCCCCTTACAGATCAATCTAGAACTAATGGTTCCCTTGCCCCTCCATACAGGTCGATCGCGGATTAGTGCACCCCACGCCCCTCTTTACAGATCAATCTAGAACTAATGCATTCCACACCCGTCCTTACCGATCTATCGAAGACGAATGTTTCCAACGCCCTTCTGTACAGATCAATCAAGGAAAACACCATATGCCCCTCGTAACATATAGGACTTATGCGTTCCATGCCCTTTCGTACATATCATTCCACATTTTCTTATATCTATATCAATATCGACTAAAGTATCCCGCGCCCGTCCTTACAAATCAATCTCAGACTAATATATTGTTTGCAATTGCCATAACCACTATTCTTAGTTCGGTCATTGAAATTGGATTATAAAATATTACTGAATAATGTTCCCCACTTTGGGAATGATTTAATAACAACCTTATAAAGAAAAGACAAAGACTAGAATTTGTTGAAGCCCGCCTCCGGGTGCGTGATTTTCTAGATTCGTTGATGACCCATTGATGGCCTTGTGCTGTTTTCTGCTCTTTGGTCGGGTTGTGGTCTCTTTGACACATGACCCTTTTCAATTCTCTATTCTATACCGGTTTCGGAAGGAAAAACATTAACGTGATGAATGTCACTATTGGAGCAGCAACTTTTGACCCTCCCGAAGCACGTCAGTCCCTCCTCCCCCATTTTGCTTTGATTTTTGTTGCTTAATCTCAATTTTCTTAGAATTTTTAAGTTTGACATGTCTTTTCAAAACTAGTAAGGTATGTCTCTGTTGGCCTGTAGAAAAATATCACTAGTAATAAATGGAAACATTTCTTTTAACATTTCAACTGATTTGACAAATCCGACTGCCTCTAATTGTCATAAGACGTTTTTATAAAAGGCACATACATATGTATGTCTTTACTATAATAGTAGCACAAGTACTTCCTTTGATTATAACTTGATTGCAGCACAAAAATATGACGTCCATTGATGCCATATAATATAAAAATGAGAAGATGTTGTATGATTGCCAATGAGACAACTCTCCGACGTAGAGGTTAACAACTATAGGTCACCATACGGCCTTCAATAATGAGAAAAATCCATACCACACTGTAAGCTTTTAAAGGCCCAAAATGACAAATGTGAAACAATTCAAACAAAAACACTAACAGCCTGATTTCTGAATAAAACAATAAACGAAAACCAAATATGATATACAACAACAAACGACAACCACTAAATTACAGGCTCTTGACTTGGTACAGACACATACATAATATGGCCGGCTGTGTTTAACATGTTTACTGGTGCAAAACCCTCCAGCTAACCTGAGACAGTGGTGTAACAGTACAAATAAGAAACTGTAATAATCAAAAGAAAAGGGCTTAACAATAGACACAAAGTATAGATCCGAGAGTACTCGCAGTTACTGAAAGCGAGTTCAAAGCCAATAGCAACTAACAAACAAATCATGTATCTAAGACTTTAATATTAATATCATTCAATGAATTTAGTGTAAAGACGTCAATAACAGTCAGAAAAAAACAATACCTTCTACAATGCTAAAATATAAGTATCGACAGATTGTAGTACCGTAAATATACCCACAAGACTGTTCCGTCCTCTGAGTGGTCCACCATCAAAGCTGTCTTCGGTCTATATTATCTTTTTCCACAGCCTAGTTCAGTGCAATACGTGTATTAGGCACTGTACGTCGAATGTGGGTTCTATTATATCATATATATCCATAAAGCTATCTTTTCAGTTGCCGTGATGATTTTCTGGATCATCACTTCTAGTGTAATAAGAAACCCAGCATCGGCGTACTCGCTTTACATCTATGGTGCGTTCAATCATTCTAAATCCATCCACTAAGCACTACAAAAGTCAAAAAGTCTGAAAAGACCAGATTTTGTCTGAATTAGCATGAATTTTTACTCGACATTCTTAATTTGTCTGAATAATTTAAAAAAATTCTTGACATAGTATGAATTTGTCTAATAAGATTCTTGATTTTTCTTGACAAGTGTCTTGACAGTATGAACATTGTCTTAAAATTTCTCGACACTTCCTGTATCATCTGATAAGAGTCTGGATTAGTCTCGACCAATTCTTGACTGTCTTAAATTTGTCTCGATCTGTCTTGACATATTCTTGACATTCTTAATAATGTCTGAATATGTCTCGACATATTCTTGACTTTCAAAATAATGTCTGAATATGTCTCGACACATTCTTGACAGTCTTAAATATGTCTTGACACTATCTCAACAGTATAAATTTCGCCTGAAATGTGAACAGACTTATTCTGCACTGTGTATGACATTCTATTGCTGTTGTATACTCCTTTATTATGGCTAAACTAAACTTTGAAGAATCAAGGATTAATTTGGTATAGTAAGATACCCTTTTGGTGCAACTAAGTTGGAATACCCTGAATAATCCCCATGTAGTTTAATTTTGATTTATTTTTATTAAACATTTAAGTAATTGTTTTCACTTGGAATATAAGTCGAAGGTATTGACAAACAGCATTTAGATTTTTGCCGTTCGCAAAACTGCCAGTCAAATTTGCTTTACTAAAATAGGTGTCTTGTATCTCTTTTGGACCCCACAATTCATCTTTTGGGTTTGTGTGGCTAAAAAAAGAGGGGGGGGCTTTCGTTTAGGTCAAAGAATTTGTTCCCATCTTGATTCAAAAACTTTATTCATTTTTTAGAACAACCCAAAAACATTTTTTATTCAAATTTGAGTGTTGAATTTTATAATTTTTTTATCAAAAATAAATATTTGTGATAACTCCTTCCTGAAAAGAAAAAAATATTTAGATCTATATTATGCATGTCTGTTTGAGAACCATTTCATAAGACCGATGATTTCTATAGAAATCAATGATGGGACCCATTATAAATACATTTTTTTTATTATTCATGGAGTAGATAATAATTTTCTTTTAAGCTTTGGGAATTATTCAATTTGTTTTTATGTTAAAATAATTAACTTCATAATTTTGATGAAGAAAATCCATTTCAATTCAATTTTTTTCATCAAAATGATGATTTTCATTTTCATCTATCAACAAACTTTTTAAATTGTAGTGGCATGGTCGGTCAACTGATAAGTTGTATGGCTGATTACAGGTAAAGCAATAACTTCTATTTGACAGTTGCATGTACTCTGGGGTGTGGAATACCTTAATTTTATGGGGAACATCCTGTCCATGTGTGATACTTAATATATTCCAACAGATGACATTACACAAATTTTTCTCCTGTTAAATGAATGATTTGTATATCATCATAATTTGCTATTTATATAAACCACATTTTGGTATAATAATTATTTACCA